GATGATTAAAAAAACGCCCTCAGCCAATGTCGCAGAAATAATCCCCTTTCGATGCAGAAATACTCAAAATATTATCAGCTCAGCTGACTATTTTTAAGTCAAAAATGGAATTTCCCCTCTTTTAAGAAAAAAACGCCAAAAATTCTTCTAAATGCCTTAAGTTAAGTGAGAAAATAAGAAAGCAAATTTACCACTCCTAAATTCAGTGTCATGGTATCAAGTCACAAACGTACGAAGCTGAAACTTAGTCTGCAAATAAAGAACACTCCTGAGAGCTTTACATGTGCTTTACTATAAAACAGAATGACAACCGCGTGTCGTAAGAGATCATCAAAATGACACAGGAAATGTAGACTTTACTCTTCATTTCTTTGTTACCTCTACAATGAAAATGTTTGCCCACTTTAGAGATAAAATGGAAAAGAAAATGTATCGTTTCGCTAAGGTAAACTGTCAAGTGCTTGTAGAAATTAATAATGGTATAAAATGCCCAAAAAAATAACTAAACATTCCTTATAAGCCTATCAGGCGTTTAGTGTTGGGGCGAAGACTTGGCAGAATATCACGGCGTTGGAAGTGTTGTCCACCATGTAAATGTGTTTCGCTTTTTTTATCAAGGAAACCGCACAAGTTTATTTTCAGATCTTTTGTGCAAATCAGTGCAAGGGGTTTCTGCAATTGCTGAAGACTAGCAGGGCATATGTGGTAATTTTAAACACACCTGTTCATAATTTCTGCACTCAACCAATTTTGGTCGCATTTATTTGAGTTTTCCGCTTACAGAATTAGTGGCATTTAGTAGTCTTTTATTCTAGTATCTTTGCCGATTGCCTGACTTATGGTGGCAGTGGATGGCCACAGGACTAGAGCAAACTGGTGGTTAAAGATACTTAAGTGACACAGGATGGGGTAAAAAATGCTAAAGTGACATTGAATGCTGGTTGCATTAGCTTAAATGCATGTAATCAATTGGAAATTAATTTGAAAGGCATTCATTAGTAGGAATTGGTTAGTTGAACAGCCGGACAATCAAATACAGAGGAAGTGAATATTTGTGACTGTCGTGTATGTGAGTGTGTAATTTAATATCGATGGTGACACAAACACCTAGATCCAGTAGGTCAAACCAACGCCTACAACTAGTCCGCGATCCACTAAATAGGTAACGCCAGCGTCCTACTGCATGCAATTAGCACCCTCGGTGAATACCACACTACATTTTTAGGGTGGGTTAGGTATTCAGTCAAGTGGAAGTGAAGTAGAAGTCCACAGGCTTGCATTTAGACTGATTTCGGATAGTAGAAGTAAGATCATTTTGAATTGTTGGAGCTATTGGACCATGGTTTTCCTTCGTCTGGATCTTTTGGGACCATCCATGCCAGCCACCACCAAAACCCATTTAACGGTCCTCCTTTAATCTCTGCCGCATATTCTGGTAGTGGAGAGATTGTAGCCACAAATGCTATCCAATCCCAGTCCTCGGATGCGATAGCTACAGACTCCAGCATTGTTTTCTTTTCCGAATCCGCTTCCTAGTATCCGATTCTAAATCATCAGAAGTTAAGTGTTATTCCCGCAGCATTGACTCCAAATATAGCTTCTTCGCGAAAATCCAACCTCTAGTTTGAGCATTGGCAGCAGCGAGAGCCTACTGATACTTGGCAACAATAGTGGAATGAAGCAGATCTGCGATTGTCAGCAGATCATTGACATGACCTCAGTGCATAGGCTAATCGTGAGAGCCCTCCTGAGGGCTAAAATTGTGGTAATCACCCCATTTTCCTTTCACACTGAGATTCAGCTTCACGCCATTCTGGTCGGTGCACAACCAATATTCATGTTCCCTTCTCCTGTTTTGACTACTAGCTTGTCCTTCTCAGCAGATTCCGCGTCATTTATGACACATTCATGTATTTATCGGTTTCCATTTTTTTCCCATGACCCCCAGAATTTAATTCCATTTGAAATAAAGCCTTGATCACCTCCTTTTGTCTTGTCTAGAGTCGACAGCAGCCTGTTATATTGTAAAAAAGTGCCCAGGGAATGCTTGTGAAAGTGGGATAAATAAATGTCACCTGATTAGCGTAGCTGCCAAATATCGGTTACTATTTAATGAAGACTTTCATGTACATAGTCAAATAGGCCCCAACCGACTGGTTTCGCCACAGCCCTAAATATTAACAGTGGCACTAAAAACATCTGTTCCAACATCTAAATCTCTGCAAACCCTATCTCACAATGTACTGTCCATTGGAAATGGCATTTGCATCACCTCCTTCATATTCTTCTATTAGTTAATTTACTGAAGTCTTACATAGTTCTATGAACAAACGTAGCCGGATTTACAGTGCTTTTCGCTGGGAAAGGCGGTGGTGGTGTATTCGTGGTGGCTGAGCGTGACCGTCATTGGCGAAGATTATCTTCCCAATTTAGGCGTGTGCTTGCTCACGTCGTTATTTTCAATCTTATTGTAGGGTATGCACCAGGAAAAGTGGATATTATTCCGTATACTGAGGTAACGCTGTTGCAAATACGCAGACTGAGCGCATTGTATGTTGTCCTTGAGGTTGTGTAGATACTATTTTCGTGTAAATCTAGCCACGCTTCTCAGTACCACCTTTAAGCGTTTGCATATCCCAAAGGAATCCACGTACGCTGTAGTTACGACATTTGTGGTAGTTGAAAATAATTTGAAACAGTATTTATTGGTCGCATGCCCCGTGCATTCGCGAAATCAGTGTCGCAATTGTTAAATTGCAGTTTTCTCAGTCGGAAATATTTCCAAATTTCCATTCGCTTTACACCAATCTATATTTTTTACTCACCTGAGTATGCGAGGCTTAATACATATTATGGCTTTAAGTCAAATTTTCTAGCTGAGTGACGCACTGTAACACTGAATTCTGTAGCCTCTGACCATGCATACTGCTTTTTGGGAACCACCACGTGTCACCCATTAGTAAAGCATTAATGATAGTTTTGGCTCTAAAAAGGAGGCAAATTTTCAATTACAGTGAATGGGTCTTGCAAAAGGAGGCATATTTTTCTTATTTGCGGTTTTAAGCTCATAAACACGCGATTGTTTTAAAAAAGTTTAAAAAAAATGAAAAAGTTCGCGTTGATTTGTGAATTTGTCCGATGCAGTGATTTGTCTCTATGTGGATAACTTAGGCATGCTGTGAAGCAGAATTGGATGATCAGCGGCGGCTGTCACAGAATGACATTTGAAACTACTCCACCGAATCACAAGTGAGGTGGCAACATTTAAAACAAACTCTCCGTCCATAGTTACAAAAAGCGTTCTAGACTTATTCCACATGGTGGCCTGAGCTTTGGAAGGTCAACATGGCAACTAAAAAGGGAGGAGACCGAACAAATCCGAATGATACCATTACAAAGCGGAAACAATTATAAACCTTCCACAACATATTTGTTTCCTAAAGAGTTTTATTACGCAAATTCCCAAGATGTCATGGCTTTAGGCAACTTTCTTTCTGCGAGTGGAGTCGTGCGTGATGCACAAAGATGCTGGAGGACTGCAACTGGTTGGGCAAGTTTACAAAAAGTGGCGGAAAAAGTAAATGGCGGGTAACACAATCACCCACCAATAGATGTCCAGTAGACAAGCAATTTGTGGAAACTTGAAGTAGAATTTATCAGTAGTTCAAACCCACATCATTTCCGAAGGTGAGTGCTTACCAATTTTATGAAGCCATTCCCTTAAGTAATTGTCTAATTTTTTGTTCAACTATCTTAAAGAATAGGAAGAAATAACATTTTAACGACAAATATGTTTGAATTTCCACATTGCAAATTTATTAGTTAAAAATGGTAAAGAAAGACCGACTGAAATCACTCTATCTTGAGCGTAACAAAATCTTTGAATCATTATTCAGTGATTATGGTATTAAAACAAATTGAATAAGGCAGCCATTCAACTCCGATACTATATTTAGCCGCACCGTCATATGGAAATATTCGGCAATCATCTTAGCCTGCCACAATATTCAGACCCAACTGTAATTCCAACTCTGTGTCCTGCCCTTACAGAGGTAACCATTATCAGCTCTTCAGCAAGACAGCACTATCTAGGTTCAGCATTTAGAGCCGAAAGTATACTTCAACTAGTCAGAATGCATGTTCGGCTGTGCATAATCATTTTTAGATTAATTAGAAAACGATTTTTACATGTCCAGCCTACAAGTTTTTGGGCTTGATGAACTCAGGGATGTACTCGCTTCAAAATTATGGTGATCAATCTGAACTGGTATTAAAATTGGAATAAAAAGCACTTCAGGAGAAAGGCATTTACTTTGTTTAAACTATTCGAAGGCCATAAAACTCTTACTTCTTGGCACCAGTTTATTAAAAGTCTCTAAACTGTTTAAAGTGCAAGTAACGTTTTGTTAATGAAAACACAATTGTTTGGCAGACACTTAAAAAGATAGGTAGAAACAGTTTTGGGTGCATTCCATTTTAATGAAACGAGAGGTCATTTGCAACTTTGTTTTATCTGTACCCTTCTTTTTAAATCGTCCATATGGACATTCGTCTTCATGCATTTTTGGAAACAAATACCACCCACCTTTGTTGATTACACGGTGTCCGCTCGACCCAAGTCGAATTCAGCCCAAATCACAATCCTATATTCTTGATTTTAGTTATGCAAATTGCAAAATTAAAAAGATTCACCAATGATAAACGTATTGTAAGTCTTATTTACCTCCGATCTTCCATCACTTCAAGTAGGCAAAGCTTAGTGGAAATTCCCTTGTGATATCTTGAAAACTCTTGTGAGACCCTTAAATGATCTTAATAAGCGTATCCTAAAATTGCTATTTAGATTCTTCATTTATATTAGAATAGGCCTTCTAGTCACCTTAAAAGGTAAAACTTCAAGTAATTTGATTTTAGATGTGCTTCAGCGACCAGAATACAGTAGCAGTTTGTATTCTGTTTTAGGGGCGCATTCATAAATCTTTTAACGCATTACGAATGCATTTAACTGAGGAGAAGGAAACCAAGATCAAGACCACTTCCAGCTTTAAATTGAAGGCCTGCTGACCAACAATAAATAAAATTGAAGCTTTAGGGTATGCAAACCTGAGTCCAGATATACATTGTTTTATTTCCTACAAGCGCTATTAACATAATGAATGACTAATGGCCTGAGAGACTTCAGTACCTAAGCGGGCTATCCATCCTCATAGTGGAAGTATCAAGAAAATACTCCAGATC